CCCCAAAACCCCAAAACCCCAAAACCCCAAAACCCCAAAACCCCATTTTGTTCTATTAATATTGAATGTATGCGACCTCATAATCCTTTAAGATAATCTATTTTCCATGCTCGGTTTAGAATAATTCTAGTGATCTGATAAACTATGGTGCGAGCTAGTAATTATGCCATATTCCTCTCTAATAGATGAAGCATGAGACATAGTTGAGCGATTATTTAGGTGATATCTCCTGTCCTTCAGAATCAAAGCTTCTGTGCTGAACTTATCTCAATCCTTCCTCGATATTCTTTCTCTATGAGATTCAGAAGATCATCTTGCCTCTTATCGAAATCCTTTTCCTGTGGATATGTACAGAGAATTATAATACTTCATGAATTACAGGAATAACATTGAATATTATTAAAAAGACTCTAAATTAGTCCTAATCATTATTCCAGATTCCTAAATCTTCAATGTTTGTGAATAAATTCAGATAGATCATAAAATTAAGAGCATCTATTGATCCAAGCATAAATAATTCGATTATCAGAAATATTCGAAAATGTAGTAATCTTCATTTGTCGCTTCCAAAGATGGAAAACGCTGATAAAATTAACATGCAAAAAACACCAAAAATACCAAAAAACTTTGATGACTCAGCAACAGCACCAACACCCCAATTCACATATGCAGGTACAAAAAGACGCTATACCCAAGCTATAACATACACTCACAACCCCGATCTTGCTCCGACAAGTCTTCAATCTCTCCACAATCCTCGCTCATCCCTATATCACAGTCCCAACGCCTTGGAACCCATTTGGCCATAGTTATTTGTGTTTAATGGATCAGTAGGTTGTTATTGCCAATAGAAGGTTTCTGTGCGGTTTAAGTGTGTAAATTCTTAGGTAAAAATGAAAGAGTTTGATATTATTAAAAGTTATCGTTTCAGCAATTTTTGGTATTTTTTGATTTCTTTCTTTTTGTTTCTTTTATACAACCATTTCTGGTAGCTTTTTGGAAGAAATTTCTTTTAATAGCCAATAAATTATCAATGAAATTTGTTTCAGAAAAGAAGAAATTCTTTCGATCATTTTTTATCTTTCCTAATTCATTCTTTGGAAAAAGAAAGGTTCTATTTCCTCCCTATGACTGTAGCAATGAAGCTGGAGGATAAAGAGCTTTCATAGTATTTCTAAAAATTTCTACAATGTTTTATATAAATCTAAAACTTCTATAGCTTTGAGAAAATATTTTTCTTCCATCATTCGTAAATTCACATAAATCTTCTATGTTTCTCTTCTGGCTTTAGTTATCCTTGCTCTAGTTATTAATCCTTCAAAATCCAATTCAACATACCAATCATTCATATATCTTCACCCACAAATATCCAACATAACCTATCTTCCCTATCCCCTTCCCAATCCTTTCGTTAGGTATCTCTTACCCCTTCTTTCACCCAAAAAACCCACCAGTTCTCTGCTCAAAACCAGTTTTTAGCCCAGTTCCCGCCTAGTTCTTCTTGAGTGATTGGTAAAATTTTTGAGTTTTTAACGAATTTTGGGTGACCTGGGGATTTTTATTTTATTAAGAAGGGGTTTTGGGGTTTTGGGGTTTTGGGGTTTTGGGG